GTTGGCTTGATACTCCCATGAAAAGGCATTGAAGCTTTTGTAAACGGTTAAGTACTTAGACCAATCTTGATCTGTTCTTCTGATGGATTTGCTGAGCGCTACCGGTACCCCATCTGTAAGTACATAGGTGTCTTAACTTTCCCTAAGGACAAGCATAAATGCAATCTTGCTTCTCCCTTGTTGAGGCTCCTGATGTATCCATGAACTGGTCCACCGTATTCTGCTAGAAGTCCTTTGTCGCTCTTGCCGTAGACAAGCTCATATGGAGTTGCACCTTTGACTGGCTGAAATCTGTTAAGCGCCCAACTGCCATTTCTTGCTGCCCAAGTCCAAAGCGCAGAAGGAGATGGAGAAGTACCAAGAAAGAATGCGCAGGCAGGAGGAGAGATTTTCCAGATAGTCCACAGACAGAGATATCACCGTGATATCACCAATCTCTGGGAATCCAATTCCTTAGAGAAATACAAAAGTTCGCCGTATGAGAACAGAATTGAATGGCTACGGTGGCAAAGTGAGCTCAAGGAAGCATTTTAGAGTCTCACAGCGCCAAGAAAGAACTTGCATCACAGTCACAGCATGCATACGCAGCCCCTTTGCGTTTCAAGGAAAAGTACGTATTCACACCCGCTTCGCGGTCGATGCCACCCGCACAGAGTAAAGGGGAAACGGACACACGCGCACACACACACACCTATAGAAATTCGTATTGACTTGACAGCGGCGCCACGCGCCTGCCTAAGTAAACCGCCTAAGGTTCCGGGTAACTGAAAACAGGTGAGCGCAAGACACCTCCAAAGCCTCCAACACCAAGTTCATGTCCAAAGCTCGCGAAAATTCCAAGGTGAGTTGCCGATGCACTAGACCTTTACTGCAGCACGACGAAATGCAGAAACAACGTATTGGACAGCTTCGGCCACACTTAGGTTTTCAACAGCAGGTACACCAGGTTGATCAGACCTGGCTTCCCAGATGCAAGGTAGCTGCGCCCCCCTGCCAACAAAAAAGATAAAGGGTCAAGGGAGGCCTTCTTTTGGTGGGATTGGTGAAAAGAACTCGACGAAAACCGCTGAATCTCACGGAACGTCTGGTAGGCCGTGAGCGGGAGTCTGAGTTCCAAAAAAGGTATAACAGGCAGTACATTCCAAAGAGATCCGTGTGAATGGTCACACACACACGCCTCCCCAAAGGGCCTTCTTTCTTTTAAGCTCCAGACGATGGTGGGATTGGCGGCAACTCACAGGGCAACTTTCATGAGCTTTGGACATGAACTTGGTGTTGGAGGCTTTGGAGGTGTCTTGCGCTCACCTGTTTTCAGTTACCTGGAACCTATAGGCCGAGAGTACTCAGACTTGACGATTTTTTCCCGAAAGCACCTGCGAAAGGGTTTTCCTTAAGCACTGCTGCCTATTTCATCTTCCTTAATCTCTTTCTCTTACTTCATCTTCCCCACTCTCTCTTCCTTACTCTCTTTCTCTTACTTCATCTTCCCCACTCTCTCTTCCTGACTCTCTTTATCCTACTTCACCTTCCTTACTTCATATTCTTTACTAACTTTCTCCTACTTCACCCTCACAACATCATCATCTAATCATCACCTCATAGGTTATTAATCTCATATCATATCATATTATATCATATCAGGTTATAATATCATATCACATCACATCAATGTCATAACATATCATATCATATCATGTTTTAATATCATATCACATCACATCAATGTCAGATCATATCATCTCATATCATGTGATAAAATAATATCACATCACAACATAACATATGAAGTAGAAGTATCAGATCAACAATATCAAAGTACATCAGAAGTAGATATTGATAGGTAGGTATTGATAAGTGGGTATAGACAGGTAGGTGTAGGTAGGTAGGTGTAGATAGGTAGGTGAAGATAGGTAGGTGAAGATAGGTAGGTGTAGACATCTTCCTTAAGACACCTACCCAACTTCACCTACCCAACTTCTTCTTTATTCTTCTCTTT